AAAAAAAAAAAAAAGAATGGCTAGGAATTTAATGACTAGGTCAAGTTCTATTGTAATGATGGGAAACATTTATATAGAACCCGTCTGCAAGCTGCCTGACTCCAGTCAAGACGCCATGACACTTCTGTGAGGACCTGGGGGGCTTAGCAGAGTCCTGTGGCCACGAATGTCAGATTTTATGGTTTCCAGGCTGTCTTTACCTCACGATCAGGTGAAATCTGATTCACAGAGGACCTGAACAGATTTCTAAGCTCTCAAGTTAGGAAGGGTCCTTTTCCCTCCAATACCGTGCTGTAGTTGCCCTCAGGACAGAGGGGAGAGGAGTTAGAAGAATCAAAGGGCTGCAAATTTTCCTTTTGCCTGGGAAATGCCACACCCTAATTTATCCTTGTGAATTCTCAACATTTTCTGATCTTTTGTAGCTATCATAAAAATGCGGCAACCTTGAACTTCATTAGACGTCCTTTGAATGTCTTTAATTTATGTATTCAGTGAGAAGAATGACATTCCCACATAGAGTCTATTTTTGGAAGAGTGGGATATGAACCTTGGTTTAGTATCTCCAGGGATGTATTTATAATATAGGTATTTTTATTAAGTCGGAACAAAATAAAACCATTCCAAACCATTTTTATTATTTAAAAAATTTTTTAATTGTAAAAAATTGAAATTGAGATGAAATTTAACCATTCTTAAGTGTCTAGTTCAGCAGTACTTTCACATTATTGTGCAATAAATTTCTAGAACTTTTTCATCTTGCAAAACTGTATCTCTATATCCATTAAACAACTGTCTTATAGAGATTCCCTAGAAGTGAAGGGGTGGGGGTAAGAGTGGGAAAACTAAAATTGGAAAGTTTTTTGCTTCTTTTGAGTACACTGCCAACTCTATTTTAATATTAGACTCCTGTATAATTTAGAACTTATAATTCAATAAAAGTCCTCTTAAAAACAAGACTATTACCATGTTACCAGGTAGTATCATTAATACAATCTAATGTAGGTGTGAACCTTCCAGAAAAGTACAAGAATGATAAGAACAGGATATTTTCTATTTTAACTAATTTTAAGATGGCAGTTTCTTAAAATCTACCTTGGGCTTTAATTAGTATGATAACTGGGTTGTTTGATTTAACTTATTATCTGTAGTCACTAAAGGAAATGATGGTTTAATTTTGTAGTTACCTTCCTTCATTGTTTACAAACCAATTTGCTATGGCTTATTAGTAATTTCTAAATAAGTAGAAGACAGAGTATTTGCTCTGAATATTTGCAACCAAAAGAAAATGGTGGCCTGGAAAACTCTTTATCCCCAAATCATTTATACAGTTGACCCTTGAACAACACAGGTTTGAACGGCACAAGTCCACTTATATGCAGATTTTTTAATATACCGTACTGTAAATGTATTCTCTCTTATGATTTTCTTTTCTTTCCTTTTAAATTTTTATTTTAAGTAGGCTCCATGCCCCACATGGGGCTTGAACTCATGACCCTAAGATCAAGAGTCGCATGCTCAACCACCTGAGCCAGCCAGGCACCCCTCTTATGATTTTCTTAATGACATTTTCTTTCCTCTAGCTTAACCTTGTTCAAGGGTCAACTCTACTTGACCCTGAAAGCCATTTTTGCCCCTCCTTTTTCATCTTTTCTCTTTCCTTCTTTGCTTCTTCTTCCCTCATGCATATTTGCTTTTGTTTGAATAATCTTAAAAATTGCACTTCCTGAATATTTTTTGAAAATTTAGAAACCTAGAAACATGGGATAAATTTAGGGGTTCTAAAAAATGATTGTGATAATTTAAAATGTAGGCTGTCCAAATTCACATTATCAACCGTTACACATTCATTGATCAGTTCTTACTAATATAAGCACTCATCTTAGGCACTGATGAGTTATGAATAATTTTGAGAACTTTTGGAAGAAAGTACTCACCTTCTACAGAAGCGTAGGTCTTTGATGGCCCCACACCATGTGCCCCCTCTATACTCTGCTTCCTTGACTTCGGAAGGTTTAAATGGGATTAGAAGGAAATCACTACCGGTGTATGGCAGCCGATGTTGTGGTTTAAAGCGAGAGAAGTTCATTTCTTTGGCAGCGGGTGGTAAGCTAGGTCCTTTCTTGCCGTGGTGATTTTAGTAAGGGGTAGTTGGGATCACTTCAAAGCAACAAGGTTAATGATGAAAGTCTTTTCATTCTTTTCCTTAAAAATGAAGACCTTTTACACACTCGACCACTCATATAACAATTCCATATCCCCATCAGCTGTATTGTAAGATGGGTTTTTCTGGCATTTTCACTGGCTGGGGTACCACTAGTGGATGAGGAGCTCTGACTGCTTCGCACTCTCCATTCGGCTTAGAATATGGCTACAGCACGGCGGCCGTGGCCTTGCTCACACTGGGCTCCATGCTTGGGACGACGCTGATTCTGTTCCACAGCTGTGAGGAGAACTACAAGCTGATTTTACAGCTCTTTGTGGGGCTGGCCGTCGGGACACTTTCTGGGGATGCTCTGCTCCACCTTATCCCTCAGGTAACACTGTTCTGTTTTCCATGGAGTGTTTCTAGTTTCCATTTCCATTGAGTCACTGGTCATGTCGATACACAATGTCACAGTGACTCGGCCAGTGTGTCTTCCTTGAAAATAAGTATCATTTCCCCAAAGCACTTAAAGGGGAAAAGAGAGAACCAGTCCTTAGGTTCACCACACGTTATTCTTATTTTTTAAATAAACCAAAAAAGGTAATCAGATACAGATTCCTATTAAGAGAAATTCAGGAAGTAGCCACTAATTATCTGTTAAATAAAAAAGAATGGGCTGCAAGATGTTGTGCTGCATTTTCTCCAGTTGGTCCCCAATGCTCCTCAGACCCTTTCTCTGTCCTCTTCTGCTCTTTTTTTTTTTTTTTTTTTTTCTGCCCCAGAAGATTGCACCTCCTCAGCTTCCTCACGGGCTGAATTGTTGTTTGCCAATGGGAGGCGCAACAGAAAAGCCAGGTGGGAGGAGAGAGGGGCAAGGGTATTTCTTCCCCACGCCCTCCTGGCCCTACACTTGTTCTAGAAGCCGCGGATTACCTACAGTACTACAGCGGCGGTGGGAGGACTCCTCCCCCACTCCACCTCCCACTGAGCTGCAGAAATATTACTTCCAACCTTTGCCCTTTCTGCCCTAAGAGTGAAAATGGTTTCCTGGAGTTGCTAGCTTCTGGGCATCTCATTAGCCCTTGCTCCTCCCCTTGCTGCCCACACCTCTGTCATCACACCAGCAGTAAGCTCTCTTCATTGGAACCATCAAAATGAATTTCCTCTTTTGCCTCGTAACGTCTAGATTTTCCGCAAGAAAAACATAAGCACCAGGAAGCTGGCTCTTGGCTGAATTCTTCTGAGGCTCTTTATTTGTCAGAAATGAAAAGACAAAGACCTGAGATGCAAGAGTTCAGGCAGAAGGAGCTCCAGAGGAGGTTATTTCTTCCCTCTGAAATCTCTTGGGATAGAGAATGATGGGCAAATGGGCCCCCCTCTTGCAAAGCCGGAGATGTTAAAAATTTCCACAAGCCTCTGGCAATTTCCTACAGGGTCACTCTTGTTGCTCAGAGGCTCGATAATTATTAGATGTTCTGAAAATCACAAAGTGAGCATTGGAAAATGAAATAAACCATTATTTGTTTTAATTTCCCTTGTAATCTAATTTTCTGGAAATATTTCAGGGCTTATTGGCTTGAGGCAGGGGCCGAGGCCTTTTCCTAGGTCCCTTTAGTGGTTGCAGAACTGCTCACTGCCTGGGATTCTGCAAAACAGCAAAAGCTTCCTGTGCCTCCCCCCAATGGGGGCATGCGGCTCTGCACAGGAGGCATGGACTTGGGGGTGGGGGCTGGAGGGGGAGGCCATCCGCTGGCTCTGCAGAGACATGTTCCAGAGAGGAGTTTAAAAGATTAGCTAGGTTTCCTGAAAATTGGAAGGCAACTGTTTTACTTGAGGGAAGAGATGTGGGGAAAGGAAGAAAAGTACAGTACAAGTGTTCGGAAAGCTAGAAAAATCAGTGGCTCCTGACTGTGATCCGTGGCTGGTGGTCAAAGGGCTGCACAGAAACAAGAAAAACACGACTGTCATGATTTCCTTTTCTCAACTAGCAACATGTCAACTTAAAGGTCTACATTTTATTCTGAGATTGTAGGGTTTTCTTCTGTTTTGTTTTGTATCCTTGTCATGCCCATTATTTTGTGAAATAACAGTAATTGCAAATACTAGATGGGTATCCTTTAATGTCTTCACCAAAAGGAAAAGTTGACTAACGTGTATTGGTTTTTAGTTACGTTCATAAACTCAATGTATATACTCGGATGCATATGTACACTCACACGTGTACTCATGTGCCTATGTGCGTACGTACCTACATATATGCATGTATGTATGAACACATACGTGTACAGTATGTATGCATAGGATTTCTTTTTCCTTTTTTTACTTTGGTAGTCAGTAACATCCTAAATGTAGAAACCACTGAGCTGTTTCCCAAACTGCCTTCTCCTGGGGAGGGAATATGATACATACCGATTTACTAGCTCACAAGAAATCATGAGGTCAACCAATGGGATGAGTCAAGTAGAGGAAAATTCCTTGTACATTTCTTGTATCCCTTTGTTTCTCAGAGAGCTGACAGTATTGCTGGGTATATAGTATACACTCCATGGAAGAAAGCTTTCAGGCAGATTTCTCACTTACCTGAACATTTATTAAAAGTTTTCTGTAATTGCAGTGAGGCATGGGGGAAATGAACCTTGGATGAAATGTATCTTTGTCTTTCTTCTGGATATAAAATACATTGATCTGTTATGAAGACTTGCTGTGCAAACAGATACGGATTGAACTCTTGGGGGGAAAAAAAGGACTGAGAATATATGAAAATTTGGTTCTCCTTTCTTTTCTCTTGTACACATTTTGTTTGACCCTGATCAGATCATATAGTGGAGGTAGTCCTACAATTAAGAGCGAACTGGGCTTTGCATGATTCCAGCAGTTGTTATGGGGTTCCCCGAAGGAAAGGTGAATATATTCAATACTGGACCTATTAATCAATATTTAAGTCATCAAAAGTTATTTCTTTGTGTCTCCCCCCCCCTCCTTTTTTTATAAAGGTCCTTGGTTTACATAAGCAGGAAGGCTCAGAGTTTGGACATTTCCATGAAAGCAAAGGCCATATTTGGAAACTGTTAGGATTAATTGCAGGCATCTATGGATTTTTCTTGATAGAAAAATGCTTTATTCTTCTGGTATCACCAAATACTGAGGTATATTTTAAATTTTATTTATCTTTTGCTTTAGAGCTTCATAATATTCATCTTTTATTTCAGAAGTCCTTGTTGAAAAGTAATTGACATCTTCATAAAGTTCTCTAGGTAAGGGATGGGGCTCTGATTTCCAGAATATACAGATCATACTGACTGGCAGCTTCCCTATAAGTATGGTTATTAATTTTTTAAACATCTGTTGCTGGCCTATTAAGGTACTTGTTAAAACCCGCTATTTGACCTTTGTGGCTAGTTTAGAAACAGGAGACTATTTCATGTCTGGGAATGAAGGGGCCCAAAGGTCTAGCTACTAATCAGCGTTTTGGATGTGTTTCCTAACCAAAAACAAATAAACATGCAGACAAAAACTTTGAAAATTCACAAAATTACCCATCATTTTCTATCCTAAGAACATTTAAAATTATAAAAACAAGGGGCTCAGAAATGGGACTTGTGGCAGATCTTTTTTTTTTTTTCAGCTGAGTAATTGTATCCATTGTGCCTGTATTTGATCAGTTTCTACGTCTGTGATGAAACATAAAATGCAGTATGGTTTTTTTTAATGGATTTGTTTTGCTCTTATATCAGACAATAGATTAACTGGTGGGATGGTTAAAAAGGTAAATGCTTGCAAACAGCTCTAGGAGACCAAAATAAAGCAAATTCTCCTCACAAAGTCCTGGGGCTCTCTAGTCCTCCGTAGTTTTCCACTTATTTTCTGGCTTTCTCCTTGTTCCCATAATTTATGATGTCTGCGCTCAGGGAAAACTTTCGCAGTCTTTTAAAATATCCAGCACTTGTCTATTATTATTCCCAAATTTATCCGAGATTCAGATTCTGCACATCAGAAAATAAGATGGTTTTATGGGTGGACAGAGAGATGACAGATGGAGAGGTGGTAAAACTGTGGTAGTCAGGTGTTAATGGTAGGATCTTGGGAGTGAGGATCTGAGTGATAACAGTACAGTTCTTTCAGCTTTTCTATCTGAAACTTTTCACGGTCAATAAATGCTGTCGAAATTTTCTTTTTTAATGAACAAGGGTTTTTCTTCGTCCTGGAGCCAAAGCCAGGATACTATAGTAATTCAGAAATTCGGAATGCTTGCTTTGATCACAGCCCCTATGCTTGCACATTCAACAACTTCACCTCCACAGAAGGGGTTCTCATCTCAATAAACACAAAAGACAATAATAGATCTCTTTGTCCACAACAGATTAGCGTTCTTGGCCTGGGAAAATTAAACGACAAAGTCAACATATCAACCTGTGTGTAGTAATTAGAAATTTAACCAGGATAGAAATGAGTGAAATAAATTCTGGCCATCCAAAAATGTGCGGAGCTTATTCAGATTGTCCTTGGACTTGTCAGGGAACTTAAAACGAGTTTTTGGGTTTTTTTTTAAGATTTTATTTATTTATTTGAGAGAGAGAGCACGTGAGACAGGGGAGGGTCAGAGGGAGAAGCAGACTCCCTGCCGAGCAGGGAGCCTGATGCGGGACTCGATCCCGGGACTCCAGGATCATGACCTGAGCCGAAGGCAGTCGCTTAACCAACTGAGCCACCCAGGCACCCTTAAAACAAGTTTTAAGAGCAGAATTTCAAGACTCATTATATTGAGTAAAATAAAAGGAAGGCAAATATTTTAGAAGGTACAAGTGCTTTAGTGGATGAATACATTTCCGAAGATACTAATTTCATAGTTATAGGGTGTAATATAGTTTCAGTTATCATCCCTTTGGCATCCCTATCAGAAAGAATGCAAAATTTAATTTTGTAGTAAATATAATTTTTCAGTAAAAAGACAATATAAAAACTGCCACTGTTCAAGTCTTTTAAAATCATAACTAGACATTTAAAGTTTCATTCTTAAGGCACTTGGAATATGAACAATGTTTCAGAGCAGTCCTGTGCTTCTCCAAGGTGAGACATTTTAGTAAGTATTTATCACGATAAAATTCTCTCAGTGCTTTTTTTTTTAAGGATTTTATTTATTTATTAGAGAGCACAAGCAAGGGGAGTGGCAGGCAGAGGGAGAGTGAGAAGCAGGCTCCCAGCTGAGCAGAGAGCCCGATGCGGGGCTAGAACTCAGGACCGTGGGATCATGACCCGAGCTGAAGGCAGACGCTTAACCGACTGAGCCATCCAGGAGTCCCCCCACCCCGTGTTTTTTTCTGTACCACCCACCACTTTGGCCAATAAGCAAAGTGTTAAATGGAACCATGGAATTGACAGAGGCTACACCTGTGTTCTTCTGGCTTCAGCACTGATTTTAAACCATCCTCATCCAGCAGGGCGTGTCCTTAATTAATGGGCATGTGGGCCATTCCCACCATCTTGCACTCAACTCTGAATTAAGTGACCAGTCAGGCAGAGGCAAATCTGCTTCAACTATCCAGTTGGTAGGTTAATGATCTGAGGTATTCTACTGATTTGATTACCTTCTTTCCTTTATTCTTTGATGAATAGATGAAAATCAGTAGGATAGATAAATCCACTCCTGATTTGCCTTTCTTAACCACGATAAGTAGTTTGGAGATCTTTGCCAAGCACCCAAAAGCTGTTTTAAAGAGCAAAAAGCCTTTCCACAAATTCAAATCCTTGCTATCTACACCACTTTGAAACACATACGATCAGCTCGACATAATGTATATCTCAATCATTTTGTTAACAAGTTTTCATAAACCAGTTGACCTTTAGGTTTTCCGTCCTGAATAATCCTTAGCCATGGCTAGATGGGGCCAAATAAATGTTGAGCAAGGAATTCGTGCATCTAGGAGTGGGGTGATAATTTTATACTGCAGAAAAGAATGGATTCTGTCCCACAAGGTGTCTTTTAGTAAGTGGTTTCTGTTACATTGAGGTTTCCAGGACAAATATTCCACTTGAAGTTGCAAAATACAACCTCCAATCAGGTTTAAAACAATGTCCCCACTCTAATTCTCAAAGTAACAAGTAAAGGGACAGGAAAAAATACGAAAGTAACAAATAATAGAAAACTTGCCACCTCTAACCATGGCCTTGGGCGAGGTGTCTACAGTTCAAGGATAGATTCCTAACCTAGAGATAAGTAAGCTGAGCCTGAGACATTGCCACAGCAAAGAGAAGTCTGCTGGGAGATTGCGGATCTAGGGCTAACTCAAATATGGACAAAACCATCCCTTTAAACAAGTCATTTTAAGAGCCTTATTATGTTTATTGCTTAGTTACTTCACATGTGGCTTGGAAGAAGATAATTTCAGGCTGAGATTAGTTTTAAAATCACTGTCAGGCTGATTTTACTTTATTCCTTCTGTTTCAGTGAAGGGTTTCAGAATCCCAAGATGCATTTAAGCAAATCTTTGATGCTAACTGAGTGAGTTTTGAACTCTTTGAATATGCTAGCTTACTAAGAATATACTCACTATTCCTTTTGTTATTTTAGCTGCAGGATCACCCTTAAAGTGAATAAAAATAATATGAACTTTTAAGATTGTTTGGTTCAATTTCCTGGTTTTTCAGGAAGGAACGGACCTCATAATTCTCACCAATCAAGGAGTCCTGGATGCTTGCCTCTAAATTCCTTTATGTAGTATATAGTTTTTTGGAAAAAAAAAATTCTAGAATAATTATTTGAACTTCTTTTAATAGAACTATAGGACCTTTTGATTTTAATCAGGCTTTGGATGTAACATAACAAAAAAAATCACATTGTTTTCTTGTTCACTCTTACCCTGTCTCCTTCGGGTCCTACCTTAATTCTCAGCCACTTATCCAAAAATAGCCCATTATTGTATCTTTTTGAGTAGATGCTACTGTTCAAATATGTGAGATACAAGTTTACTTTCTCTATTTCACATTTTTTAAAAAGATGCTTATGCCTCACATTAAATTTGTCTCAAAGTTTTTTTGGAAGTTTATTTATTTAAGTAATCTCTACACTCAACGTGGAGCTTGAGTTCACGACCCCAAGATCCAGAGTCGCACGCTCTTCCAACTGAGCCAGCCGGGCACCCTTGTGAATGTGCCTTTGAAAGGACATGTTCAATAGGCAGATACAGGTTTTCCTCACTATCTGAAAATAGAGCATTCCTATGAAACCTTTTGTAAGCAAAATGGTATAAAGTGAAGAAGCAATTACCAATAATTTACCTGGAAAAATGTGTGAGCATTCCCAGACACAAAACATAACCTCTCTTAGGACCGTTTGATACCTTAGGACACATTTTGCTAACAGGTGCACACAATAAATCGAGATAAAGCACAGATGCTCACAGATACAGGTCGAAGCTCTGGTGGCTTGATGCTGAGATGCTGAGTGCAGTTCCCGGGGAAAGCGCTTGGTGGCGCCACTCAAGGCTGGGGTGCGCGCTGCCGCTTTAGCCTTGCTACAAAACGGACGCTGAATGCTGTTGGTGCTTTTGGCTTATTTTCATAAAAGCAAAGATCCTCTCCGGATTTATTTCAGTTGGTGAAAACAGGTCCTGGTGTAGGTTTTTCGTAAAAGCAAACGGGGTGTGACATGAGCTTAAGAAAAGCAGGGGCTACTTATGAAAAGTATTCACATCATGGAATGAGAATCCGAGGCCCGGGGAAGGGAAGTGACTTTCCCGAAATTGATCCGTGAGTCAGTCTCTGAAATAAAATCACGTAATCTTAAGTCACAGAAGTCAACTGCAAAATCCTACTTCTCTGTCCTATGAAAGTATAAAAAAAGCTTAAAATATATATTTATCTTTTGTAAGTCTGTTGATGTACTTTCTTCATCAGCGAGATTCTTCTACTCGTGGCCAAAGCAGAATATTATACTCTCAGGAATAATGGGAGGCATTGCGTGTTTGTTCTCTATCCACAATACACGATGTGCTTTAAGATCAGAGAATGAATCCTAGATCCACAGTCCACCATACAGAAGCGTCAAATTAGGTCAAGAATCAAGAATCGTTTTTTCTACAGCTTTTGGGTTTCATAAAGGCTTATATAATTTAAGAGCCTGAATTACAGACTGTCTCGGTAGCCTCTAACTACGTGTGGAAGGTTCTGATCTACGTAAGACAGCTATTTTCGTCTAAAGGTACACAGGGCCAAAAGTTTGCCTCTAACCCTTCTGCTTTACCTTCTATGCTTGCCTCTGAAATTTCTAAGTTCTCATATAGCCTAGAGTATTCAAATGTTTAAAAATCAACATAACTCTCCAGATGTTTCATTTTTACACCAAAATGATGAGCATTGCTAATCTTGCATCAGTTATTTTTTTTTTTTAATTTAAAATAGAAAGGCCCAGAAGATTCACAGGCAGCTGAAATTCCTGTAGGCAGTATGACAGCCTCCGAAAGAAAATGTGAGTACCAATTTTCAAGAGCTATACTTTAAATATAGAAAGTACCACAGAACAAGGATTATGTCTGTTTGAAAACAACGTGTGGAAATCATATAGATTTCTTCCTGGGTTTGTATCTCATTATTACAGCCTTTATGAGAAAATGTTTAATACTCATTCCCATCGGTCTTCCACACACACTGCTCATTAACATCAGTTGTACTCCATTCTTTAAAAACGATGTTTTCCTAAATTGTTTAAAACGGATCCTCTGAGAACTGCAGTTAGTGTAAATCCATATGTAGTTGTCAAGGCTCCTATAAAATCGTGAGCACAGCATACAGTGTAGACTTGCGGAATCACTCTGTCGTGCACCTGAAACTAATGTAATGTGTGTCAACTAAATATCAGTTTTAAAAAAATTCATGCTTACATGATGATTGAACCTTTTACTTCTTTCTCTATGAAATCTGGAGACTTCTGTCACAGTCTACTGAAATTTAGCACAAACGTCTCTCTCATGTGTGATGTTGTCCCTGGGACGGTGGAGGTCAAATCAGAGATAACTCATCATTCATATCTTATTCTGTAACTCACTTGTTCATATAAATTTCAACCAACCTTTTTCTTTCTGTGATTTTTCCCTATTTCTGAATTTAATGTACCAATTTTGTATACAGCTTTATTCCTTTTGGCTTATGTTTTTGAATAATTTTCTGAATTCTTTTGGTCTCCTTCAGTTTTCATCCATTGCTTCCAAATCTCTACCCAGTGTTTCTTACTGATAGTACCCTTTTGTGACACAGTCTTGTCAGTGTTTTAACATTAAACAGTCATGATTAGTTACTCACATTCTACCATAATAGATTAGTTACCTCGTAATAAAACTAGCTAACATTATGTGCCAGGCATAGTGTTCAACACATCATGGATTATCTTATTTAATACTCCTATGACTGAACAAAGTAAGAACAATTATTATCCCAGTTAAACAAGCGTAGAAACCAGTTGTTAGAGAGGGTAAGTTACTGCCCAGGATTACATAGCTAGTAAGCTCCAGTGGAACTAACGAATGCTAATGGACCAACAATTTCGTGATGGTCATTCATTCATTCATGCATCCATGTCTTCTCTCACATTCTTTCATTCATTCAAGAAATTTTTGAAGATGTGCTGTGTTTTAGGCACTGATGCATGCACCGGAGAATAAAATAAGAATGGTCTTTATCCCTAGTTTGCAATGTGGCTGGGGATATAGATCAAACATGATTGTAGCAATCACTATTTTAAATGTGTTATATATATTAACCTCGGTAACTTATTATTTGATTCAAAATATGTGATTATGTAGTCTGTCTAATTCTGCTCTCAGGACATGGCTAGGAATATTTTCCTTCTAAATCTTTAGTTCCAGAAGAGATTCTAGAATGCCTGGCACCTAGTAGGTCTGCAGTGGTCATTTCTTCACTATTGTTTTTGCAAGAAGGGAAGAGGGGAGAAGGATACGCCCCGTCACATTAGGAGTGCAGTGGTAGATGCTAGATCAGGGAGTAAGGATGGTCTTATTGAAGGATTTTGGAGGCCTCAAATCTTTCCACTTCAGATATCAAGCTTGGTATACAGAATGCACAGTGAACAAATCCAAATTTGATTACTCAACTGCCCTTTTGCCAGGGACATATTGAATTAGCTTCAAATATTTGATTACTTGTTTCACATTACCTCATTGGTGGAACTCAGCTTGTATTTCAAAGACAGGATGTGAACATCCTACCCACAGTCTGATTTAAATAAACAAAAAGCAACATGAGACAAGGTCCAGCCCCTGTTTCACCATGGAAAACCTCAGATAAGTTAGAAATGTGGAAATGAATATGACTGCCAGGGACATAAGCAGAGATAAAATATTATTGATAATTCTGTAATAAGTACATTAGATTACCAATGAATGCTGGTCTTATCTTCCACTGAATAATGTGTACATTATCTTAAACATTATATACAGTGTGCTTATGAGGTTTACATTACAAATATGTATATTTGCCTGTGGCTTGTTACATGTCCCTGATCTGACATTTAGAAACCCATAATCAGAGGTAATAAAATAATAGACAACGAAAATAGGCCACAGTTTCTTAGCAGAGTATGAATTGAATAAAAACTTTCCATTTGAATATATGCTACCTGTATCAAAACTACACTAAAGTACATGGAAATCACAATATATTTGCATGCTGCAATGTTGCCAAATGTATTACTTTAAATTGTTTTAATTCCACAAAGAAGAGCTTTCTTTCTGAAAATTGGCAGGAATGGCAAAGCGACCTGGTAGGATTATTAGATTCTGAGAGGTTCCAGGCCATGCCAGTAAGAACTCCCTGAATTCGATCATTTGATATTTATTCTGTGTTTATATGACCATTGCCTGAAATTTTCTCACTTTTAATAAAGAATAAAATGAATTAGTAAACCTAGACTAACTAAAAAAAGACTAACTAAAAAGTTAGTCTTATAGTGATAGGTCTAAGTAAACCATGAATTTTAGAAGTGAAATGCATGGGACATGTTTGCACTGTAGTCAATCTCGTGGCTGATAGTTGGGGCTCTATCTGCCGTTTACTTGACTGAAGTTATTTATTTATTTTTTTTTTAGTAAGTAATTCTTTTTTTTTTCTTTTTTAAATTTTGAATTTTAATTCCAGTTAACATACAGTGTGATATTAGTTTCAGGTGTACGATGTAGTGATTTTTTTTTTATTATGTTATGTTAATCAGCATACATTACATCATTAGTTTTTGATGTAGTATTCCATGATTCATTGTTTGCATATAACACCTGGTGCTCCATTCAGTACGTGACCTCTTTAATACCCATCACCAGGCTAACCCATCCTCCCACCCCCCT